CCCTGCCCCGCCGCTCACGAGGGCCTCCTCGCCCCCGGCTAGCGAACGGCCGGTGCGCGGTGGGAAGCCACCGCCGGACCGGGATGACAGCGCCGGCAAAGCAGCCGGGAAGTCGGGGAGGCCGGCGGTGGCTCCCCGTTGCGGGGCGGTGCCTTCCCTCAGGCCCTTCCCGGATGGTGCGAGACCGGGGGCTCCCGCCCGCCGCCGGGGAGGAGGGCTCGGAGAGCCCGGCCTGAGGGGTGGCCGGCCGCGGGAAGGGCTGGCTGCTAGGAAAGGCCTCAGCCGCTCACGCGAGCAGCTCTCTTGCGCGGCATGATGGCCTGGGACGACTTTTGGAATTTCTTTAAAAGGTCACAAAATCACAGGAAACTTTGAAAGGCGCCGGGAGATCGCAAAAAGAGGGGAGAAGAAAAGTGCGCAAGTCGTTGCGGTGAGATTGAGGCGGGGTAGGACGACGGGCTCATCTCAAGCTCATCATTCCTCTGCACCATGTTTTGGGGATGAATCCCTGCGAGAGCCAGCGCCTCTGGATTTTGGTGCGGGTCACCCCCTTCCCCTACTGCGCTAAGGCACTAATGAACCAACGCAGGGCTGTGTTGGCTACCACCGGGGAGGGTGGCCAGTCTGCTCCGCAACGAGAGTCCCGTCCCTCTTTGGAAAGCGTGGGGCATACATAAGGTTTGCATGCTGGGCATACCAGCAGGATTACACCACATCCAGCCCAAGGAGCGTTCATTCCTGGCAGCCAGCGGCGGGCTACGGCTGGCCTTGGCACTGAAGCCACTCTTGAAAGAGAGTACAGCTTCAACACTTGGGTCGTTGAGTGCAGTAGTGACCCAAAAATACAGGACTGTGTTTCCTTCAGTGTTACTGTAACCCTGGGCATACAAAGTAACCTTTCAAATACAGTTAAATTTTAACAAATTTGGGGGAAAAAAAATAATCAGGAGATGATCTGCTGATAGGACTAGCCAGGTAGGGACTAGCCAAGTAAGAAGCAAACAGTAGTCTGTAAGACTGGCTGCTGGAGCTGTGGCCCACCTAGCCACCTACTTAGTATCCCCCAGAAATGCCTGGTCTGTGCTCCCATTTCACAGCAAAAATTCAGGACTAAGTGTCTGCTCCGACTCCGGCTGAAGCCAACAGGGCTCTTTTCAAAAGGCTTGTGGCGGGAGCCCCGTCGGGCTGTAACAGTCCTGAGGGACTTGCAGGGCAGCCAGGAGGTTGTTTTATACTGTGGTGCTGTGGATCAGCTCAGCTTAAACTGCTCCACCACTGCACAGCCTCTAACGAAAACAGCCAGGGCTGTTCCTAATTAAAGGAAGCAGAACTGCCTGAACTACCCATTGAGAAAAGGAAACTGTGCAAGGGAAGCAGGAAACTGCAGAATGGGGTGAGGGAAATGGTGGTTCACGTAAACATAAGGTAAGTTCACTAGTTTTCAGACATTCATGTTGGGATAAACTCATCTTTCATGATCTCAGCAAACATATGATTTAGGGCTAGATTCAATATCCTCCCAAGTCCTTGGAAATGTTTCCATTGACTTAAGTAAAGTTGGATCAGGACCTTATTTGTTAATGCTCTCAATCATTTTTGCTACAATACACAGTGGCTTGGGAAGTTTGAGACGTTTACAATTGGTATGCTTTTCTCAGCTCCATAAATTTTATGTTTCATCAATTTTGAAATAAAATGGTCCTGATTAGTAACAGACAAAAATATGGCACAATATTTTCTTGCTGGACAATCAGGTTTAAATTGTCCTCAAATCATTTAGCATTTTTATTTTTTACCTCATCTGAGCAGAGCACAAATACCATTCAGTGTTTTTCTGCTGATACTGAACATGTGATAAGAAAGCTACCAATCTTTTGGGGTCATTGCTGCCATTTATTGTGTGATCAGTAATATGCTCATACCCTGCGGGAAAAGGTTGTATAAGAAATATTTGAGCGTGGTTAAAAACACATTCTGTTTTGCATCACTCTGACAACACAAAGCAAATTTAAACCCATCAGTGCAGTACAAAGCAGCTGGAGCATACTGGGCAATCTGGCTCATTATGTGTAAATCTCTTATCTTTGCCCTATTTTTCTACATTCCTTATTACTAAGGCTGTTTGTATGGAAAGAGGATTTGTACAAGAATTATTCCCCACCTGAAATCATAATTCTCTTTGTGACATTGTAATAACTTCTTCAGCAACCACATGTAATGTCATAAACATGCACTGATGACTTCAGTTGGAAACTAAGGAAAAAGAGCTCTGAAGAGACAAAGTCTGTTTTCTTGGAAACATGGACCATAATCTCACAAACATTCTTGCACATGAATTATTGTAAACATATGTGTAGTCCTATTAAACTCCCTAAGCCTAAATTATCCCTTGTGTAATTCCACCATAATCTATAGAATTAATGTGGCTCAATGGAAAACTATCAAATATGCACTGTGATTTCTGTGTTCCACTCTGTGTCGGAGCCATACCGAGTGTCCATGATTGAAGACATGTAAGGGGGTGACTGGCAAGTCCTTCATGTGCAGTCAGGCCTAGCCATGTCCGAGATGGATCATCATCTCGTTCCTACCCATCTGATCCTGATAAAGGGCCTTGGTTTAATCAGCTGGCTCTGCTGAAGAGGAGTGGGATGATTTCCCTGAAGGATAGAGGAAGTTTGTTTAGGAGAGCTAAACTGTGTACAGGAAGTTTGTCTGCCAGGACTAGCTCCAAAGGGCGATGTATAAGGGAAGGAGGAAGGCTTTGCTCAGTGGTGTGGCTGGTCTGAGGGAAGGGAATAAGGTTCTGAGCTGGGGAGAGTGGTGGCAACAGCCATGGGGCTGAGTAGGAGAAGATGAAGAAAATGCACCACTGGGTGTGTGTTTGTGGTCATGGGCGCGGCTGTGATTTTGCCTGGAGCAGAGGAGTAGGTTTCTGGGTGGGAGGTGGAAGCTACAGTGCTCAAAAGCACTGGAGTGCAGGAGGAAACGGCAGCAGGGAGTCTTGCTAGCTTGGAATGGGCAGGGGGTCACTCTGGTGAGGAGTGGGTCCTGCACTGCGCTGCCATCGATGGAGCTTACTGGCTTGCAGGTAACCAATTGGGGAGCTGGCTAAAGAAAGTGCTTTCCAATAACCTGGTGCTTTAAGGAAGGGAAGGATGCTCTAAGCTTTCTGAGTTACAACTATGTTCTCTTCTAAGGATCAAGGAGAAAAAAATACTAGTGAGTGAGTACTAACCTGGTGAGGCAAGGAGAAGGCTGTACTGCTCGCTTCCCCATTGAAGCGCTTTAGCTAAGAGGCAAGGAGCTAACTAAGCCCTTTTGCAATTCCCTTAAACTTGAGGGAGTCTTTCCCAGGCTGTCCTGTCCCACGTCAGTGTGTTAACTAGTCCTGGTGTTGTGAAATGTCCTGTCCCAGCGTGCTAGTGACACTAATGCTCAGTAATGTTTTAGCCTAATTAACTTATGTGGCTAAAGTTATTAAAACAGCTGCAGGATAAATACAACTTGTGACTCTAGTAAGACTTGCGTCTTCTTGCTGGTTGATGCCTGTTAAGACCAAACGTTAGTACAACATGCAGTGGCACTGAAGAAACCGCAAAATAAGAACTCCACAGAAGAGCCAATGGTGAGCCACAGCAGTACCTAAAACAATCCTTGATTTTTCATTTGTTAGGGTTCCTTTTGAAAATAATCAGTGTCCAAGGTAAGCTTGTATAATATCTGTTCATATGTTACCTCAAATACCTACTTAAAACATTGCTGTGCTCATTCTGCTAATTATTCTGGAAGATTTTGTGGGTATGCAGTACTGCTCTCGGTCTATTAATTAAACATGCCATGCTGTATGTGTGCTGTATTGCTTCTTGACTACTTTAACAGACTACTCTCATCGCATGAGAAATCCTCTTGCCTTGTAGAACAATTACGGGTGCTATGAGGTGTTTGTAGCCCACTCCTCTTTCCTCTGTACCAGACTACAGAAGACAACATTTTCTTGGCAGTCATTAATTCTACCTAAAAGGCCGGCTTACAAGTGTCTTAAAATCAACATCTGGAAAAACTAAGTACATGGACTTCTTATAAATACCACAAACTGAATCATGGGGCCAAATTCAGCCTTGGTGGAACTATTATCTGATATCTGTGTTCTGTGTTTTCCCTATGTTGCTTGAGTAAATTCCCTTATATGGAGATGTCTTCAGAGATGCACATGATGCCAAAATGCTCAGAGAACTGCATAGGACCAAACCTAAAATACTGCAGTAGAAGAAAAGAAGTATAAACCCAGACTTTCTGGAAAGGGAGCGGTGGTGTAAATCTCTGATTTGAGAAGGGGTTTTAACCATCAGTTCTGGCAGTTTTAAGACTGGGAGCCTGAGTCCTATTTTTAGGAAAGACTCCCCTTTGTGTCTAATTTTTAAGGACATAAATGTTACTCACATTCATGATAAAATAACTTGCCAAAGTGAAAGATTTATCTACATATTTGTATTTGTAGAGATTAAGCTTTATTTAAAACAAAACAATATATTCAGATTGTTAAAATATTTAAATGCTTGCTTCTTAATCCATCGCTTTTTCATTGATTCTAACACTGATGTCTTCTTCTGTCCTCCATCCTCGTATGAAAATAGAGGTTTTTTTTGTTATCTGGTGGTGCTAGCTGTTGATAAATAAGCTTAAGGCAGACTTTTGTGCTTTTTTATTTTTATTTGAGATTCATGACCTTCCTTTAAAATGTGATAGTTGCATTCTTATCAGTGGGGGTATAGCTAGAGAACAGTGGAATGCCAGACTATGTTCCTGGATAGAACTACTATAAAAGAAGACTAAAAATATAACTTAACCTGCAACCTGATTAGTGTTGGGGGTCCTGTGTTGTCATGTGCCCCCCCTCCCCCTGACT